CAGCCTGAGGAGTTGGAGGGGAGTGTTTGGGAAGGAGAGGGATGGTATTGTGAAGTGGTGAAAAAGAGAGCAAGGTGTGAAAAAAATATCAGCAGCCAGTGCGTTTTCTGCTCCCCCATTCCCTCAGACTCTCCTCCCTTTGCCTCTCCCCATCGCTACCCTCCATCTAGAAGGGTACACACAAGTAGGTAAGTCCCTTAGACAGTGCTTTAAAAAAGGGAAAAGAGAGCTATGCTGCTGTTGGCTTCTTTGTCTCTCGTGGTCAGAGGGGACCAGAGACCCTCAGTGGGGCAGAGGGCTCTCAGCAGCGAAGGGTAGATGCTGCATGATGCTGGCAAAACCAAATTAATTTGAATTTTCTGCAGTGGGGGACCTCCAGAAAACTCCATGTTATACAGAAAGCTGTCAGAGGTCCTGGAATGGGCAGGAATGAGGGCAGGGGCAAATCACTGGCTTATGTAAAAAAATAGTCCTATTGAGAGTTGTTGAGGGTAACCAAAACCACTTTAATAATTTCCAGACCAAGGGCATAATTCATAATATTTGGGTGACCTTGTGCTTTTTTAAGTTCTAAGAATGATTTGCAGGATGCTTTTCTAATGATACCTGGTTTGCTGCTAGCCAGTCGCTGCTGTTCTGCTAGGAGCAGCCTGGGACAAACCAAGCTAACCAGTGACACTGTTTTCAACACAGTTCATATTGCTCAAGACTTCCGAACATGCCCTATGTGAGCCTCAGATCCCTATAAACACACCTAAATATAGAAGTTTGGTTGTAGGTGGGTATGCATGTGCTACATGTCTATACTTCCAGCATAGCCGGTTGAGATCTAGGGCTTAGTTCAGCAGAGTACATAGAGGTGTCCCCTGTTATATGATATTCTCTGCTCTACAGCGACTTCTGGAGGGCACAGCCCTGCCAGGTCTGAGAGCATAGCTACTGGACGTAGGGGTGTCTCAGATACCTTAAGGTGTCTCAAATAGCACTGGACAAATAAATCTGGGCAGCTGAATCGACCCTTTTTTGTACCAAGCCCAGAGTGCAAGTCAGCTTAGCAGCCACGGGAGCCTTCCTGAGGATTAGCTGCACCTCTCTCAGTTGACATGATCTCCTTGTGCTGCACAGGGAGTTAAGATACCTACTTCACATGTAGACACCTAAATTTAAATGTCTTCATGTAAGAGCTGAATCCCTCCCCACCTATTTTTCTGATTTCCGTTAGAATTTGTGATGTCTTTAACTTTTCCTGGTCAGTTGTCCTATTTCTGAACTGTCACTCAGGCCTCCTGCAGCTGGTTGTTGTGCTTTTAAGATTTGTACTGTGCAGAAACGCTCCAAGATACTTTACCCATTTCTGGCTCTTCTTCATCTCTGAACTTGTTGGATTTACATCTACAAGCAAATCCAGCTTTTTTATATATAGTAGCCACCTATGATTCACCTGTGTAGTAGCCAAAGGCATATTAAAATGTCAGAGCCTAAGAACAGGCAGAAGGTCAGCCTTAGCTAAAATACTATGTCCAACAATGACACTAGCCAACGGTAAACAGTCAGGGAAGATTACACAAGTCGGGCAAACAGACAGTGATATTTCTTCATGAGTCTCTCAGCCTCCTATAGCCTGATGCTTGAAGATGCCCTGAGCCTGAAGTGGGCTCTTGCTATTAGCCCTGTATTAAACCTTCTCCCCTGACATCATGCTGCTGGCTTTGAACCTATGTAAACTTTTAGCACTTTGTGTCGAGGATTTCCCCAATTTAACAGGACAGTCCTTAAACCACAGGTTATCTGTACCCTTAATATTGTAATAAAAGGACAAAGCCATCCCAGGTAAGTTCAGAGAAACTTGGATTGTTTGCAGGTGTTCGGACCTCAAAGCACTTTGGAGGCTGAGCAGAATGAACTCAAGGCTATTTCCTACTGTACTGGAGCAGGCTAGGGAAACAGTCTTCTACTTCTAGGTACAAAAAGTCTCTCTCACAGCTCACCTGTGGGGGTCCTTTTCACTTACTGGGTCGTTCTTGACTTGTAGGAGCTATGCTTGGGACAAAATGAGTGAAAGAATCAAAACTCACGTTAACAAGAACTTGCTTTCAGTTCTTCACTGGCAAACGTGCATTTAGATTATCCTTACATAGAAACATAAAACCACCACAAAATCCTAAGTTTTAAAACACCAGTTATTTCTTACAAAGGCTCTTTAAGCTTTTAAAGAAGACCAGGAAGTTAATTCTGAAGTGAGGAAGTAACACAGAACTTGTTCTGTGCTTTTCCACTCCATGCACACCGATGTGTCAGCCCCAGTCATTCTAAAAGAACATTTGCTTTCTCACAGCATCCATGTGCCATGACTGTGCTGCTTCTCCTCATCTCCCTTTAAATGCTGTTCTGGCTCTAAGGGCAGTTGGCTGATTAGTTCATGCATAACAAACTTGCTCTCACAGTCTGAATCTGTGACCTGAAGAAATAAATCCCAACACTTGCTGCACTTCAACAAACTTTCCAGACTGCTAGCTGAAAGAATGCTGCTGAGTACCCAGCACTGTATTTTTTCCTTTCCAGGAAATGGTACATCAGGGGAGTTGTGTCCAGAAACTACAAAGCCTCAACCACACAGTGTTTGTACTCATAGAAAATTAATGTGTGCTTTTAAGTCCGGTTCCACTGGACTCTCCCCACTGGATCTGCTCTTTTTTTTTCTTATCTTTGTTTTCTTTTTTGCCTTTTCATAGGAAATTTGGTAAGGGAAAAGACAGAAAGGGAGAAAGTTCTAGTCCATCTACTTATTAGTATAGTTTGCTACATCAGGCTTCAAAGCTCCTTCATGAGCTCCTCCAACACTGCTCCTCTTATCCATATGTTTTCAAAATTACTACCCTCAGTTTTCACCCTGGAGGGTCCCAAGGTAGTTTTGACACCAGCCCTGACCTGACATCCCTACCTCAAACAGGAATCTCAGTGCTTTGGATTTCCATTCATCACAGGAGTCTCTCTTTTGACCCCCTCATTCAGCTCATGTACTTGTATACGTTATTTATTGGTACTTGGACATTAATTTTTTCTGTAATGTATTTCTTTCAGACATCATTGTTCTCATCGCTTCAATAGCAGTTGTTTCTGCAAAAACTCAGGGTAACATTTTTGCAACATCAGCACTGAGAAGTCTTCGTTTCCTACAGATCCTTCGTATGGTGCGCATGGACCGAAGAGGAGGCACTTGGAAATTGTTAGGTTCAGTAGTTTATGCACATAGCAAGGTATGTAATCCTAGATGCTAATTTTGTCTGTTTGATATCTTCACTTAATGTGATTCAACAAGAGGCCAAAGAAACAAACATTTATCAGTTTCAAGCAGAATACCTAAAATTTTCTGAAGTAACTTTAATTGTAATGGGCATTAGCACAGATACATCAGGCCATGTTAAATGATAACAGTTTTTAGAATATGTTGAAAATGTTGTCCTTGATAAGCAGTTATAATTTGACATCTATTGGTGAAGTTGCTGTAGCATCAAACCATAGCAGTAGATTCAGTGCACTTTCAGAGAAAATTTGTGTCCCTAGGGAAACATTTGACTCTTAACTGTTCAAATGCCAGAAAAACATGTAGATCTTTTCATTACATCTTCCTTGAAATGCCATTCTGTTCCATCTTTCGAAGGTATATTGATCTCTGATTTCTTTTATCTAGGAATTAATCACAGCCTGGTACATAGGATTTTTAGTACTCATCTTTTCATCTTTCCTGGTTTATCTGGTGGAAAAAGATGCAAATAACCAATTCTCCACATATGCAGATGCTCTCTGGTGGGGCACAGTAAGTACAGAAAAATAACACTCACTTTTTAACCAGTATGCTAGAGTGCTTTGAATGTCACATACTACGGATTTTAACTTAGTTTGCTGTTCAGTTAATTGTTTTCACTGGCAGAAAACTTGTCTGAGAAGCTTCCTCCTCCAGTTATTTATGTGTACATCCATAGTTCATTTCACCCCTTCGTGCAGAATAGCTCTTATGTGTTTCTGCTGCAAACCACACCACTAAAATTCAAGGGAAGAAAACAGTAGTATAGTTTGTAACATGGTACCACAAAGAGCTGCTTTGATCCAAATCAGAGGGCTATAAACTGCAGTGCCGGGAGACGAACAAGTGTTGGGAGAGAAAGAGGGAAAAAAAATTCTTTCATCAGCTTTGCAGTAAAGGAAAGAGTATCATCAGCACCCCAGATGTTGTTTCTCCTTCCTCTGTACCTTGAGCACAAAACCAAGAATAAATTTCCCCATTCTGGTTAAGCAGTGTTATTTTTACAGATGTAAAAGCCCTGATTTAGTTGAGCTCATGATTAACTATGAAATCAGTTGGTTTTATTTTGTTGAAAAATACGTGCCTGAAAGACTGCTTTTCTGAAAGAAGGAAGATTACATGAATGCTTACTTGTTTAAATAAACTAGGCTTCAAATTAATAATGAGAAACTAAGTGTGATTTTTTTTTTTTTTTTATGGTATAATGTGTAGGGATTTTGGCTTTAAAATGCCCTATAGTGAGCTAGACTCTGTGTGGGAGTTACTAATGCAGCTTAAGAAATCCGCCCTAAGAAAGCCTATGGTATAGCTATTGCCAGCCAGTATAAAACTGCTTTTCTTTTCCTTCTGATGCAGTAGAACAAACACCATGATCTCTGACAGTGTCTGGGTAGTGAAATGATGCTGGTGAGATCATTGATGCTGGCACAAACTAGAGCACTCATTAGTTTTCCTGAACAAGTGCAAGACCTGAACCAGACTTTGCCACCTTTCCTCGTCATAGGGATGTAGAAATGAAGCTTTCTCTCTTCAAACCATCTGCTTAAAAGACTTTGTCTGGACTCAGTAGTATCTGAAGGCTCAGAGCATGCAACTGGGCAAAAGCCCTTTCCAAAATGCTTGAAATCCTTCAGAAGTATTTTTAATAAGTTTTGTTTACATATTGAGCAAAGGTTAAGATAATTTCCTAGTAGTAGGACTAGTTTGTGTATTTTACTTTTGTTCATTTAAGGGTTAATAATTTGTTACATGTCTTCCCTAGAGATTATATTTCTGTGCACAAAACTGGGAGCTTGGAAAAGCCAGACCTAGTAGGTCTTACTTGTGCATTTACAAATACACAGAAATATTTTTCCCAAAACGTGTTGCTTTAGAGCATCAAGACAGATCTCCAATAAAATACACATTTTTATCCTGTAATCCAAACACATGCAAAAATCGAATTGGCTGAAGTCATGAGAGATGGTTTTGCCCCAGTCATATCCCTGTAGTTTATTTTGTTTCACTTTTCTTCAAAAGCTGAGGTCTAGGTTTGGCTTAAAGCTTTCTAACCTGCCTGTATTGACATGGTTGTGAAGCATCTGGCTTCGGATGGGCACCCTGGCTCCAGCAGTCTTCAGTCACAGTTGCCCCTTTGAGGATAGCAGTGGGGATGTGGACCTGCAAGAGACCCTCCTGTGGCAGTGCACAGGTCTGGGAATGCAGACATGATTTCAGCCATTCAATTCTCCAGGAAACACCCTCTACCTCTCTACAAAGCCATGTGTGATTTAGCACAGGACTAAGCAGGGGATTGTAACCACCTGCCAGAAGGCAATAGTGGGTACAACAGTAGAAACAAATGCATAAGGAATGGGAAAGTCACAGCAAACTCAGACCTCAACTCAGACATCTGACTGAGGCTCCTGTTAGATCCAGCTCCTACTCCCTGAGCTGCTCTAGAAGCAGGAACAAGATCTTTATTTTAGAATTTGCTTCTCCACTTCTTGCTGACTGCTATTTTTTAAGGAAAAACCCTGCTAAGAATTGTATAAATTGGTGCTTAAAATACTTTGTACACTATGAAGATGTGTGACTCATAGGTCAGATAAGTAGTGCAACTGAGAAAACAGGAATCTTTTCTTGACATCAACAGGAAGAACAACAAATTGTAATAAAAAAAAAATAAAACAATCTATATTGTATAGTGCTATGTCTTTTCTTCTTTCCCCAGTGTGTGACATGAATGCATTTAAATTTTTAATGTGTTTAAGTGCACAAAGTTACTGAAAATCAGTTTCCCGCTTACCTGTTATCTTTGCCATTTAAATAATGGTATTTTTTGTATAATATGTAAAACAGTATGTGGGAAATGCATAACGTGCTTCTTAGTCATGCTTGTTTTTACTGCCAGAGTAACCCACATGCAGATTTTGAAAAGGTCAGATTGTGTAGCATTCTAGGGGAAACTAATGCTTTGTCTCATTGATTTGTTTATTCGCAAAAGTTGTTCTAACTTAAAACATAGAGTACCTACCAAATCCCAGAATGAATTCTGTGATGGCAGAATTACAAGCAAAGACTGCATTGAAGTCAGGCATAAATAGTGCCTTACAAATAGTAACCTTACCTTTCAAGCTTTTAGAGGCACTTATGCCCCTCCTTACAGGACCAGGCCCAGCATGCACCATTTAAACCATTCATTAATTCAGGTTATTTGAAGCCCATATCCTGCTATGGTCATTTCACTGACTCCATTTCTAAGGCCTATATTTTTATGCTGGAATAAAAGGAAGGATATGACATCCTGATTTATATACAAGTACTCCACTCTATTTACAATTGTATGTTGTACTGTGCAACCTGCAATTTAAACATCATGCTAATGTTACTATTGTGAATATTCGTATGATTGGGGTCCCCACAGTGCTGCCTAACACAGCAGCGCACAACACTGTGTGTTCTATGAAGAGCTCAAGTTCAAAATTTGCTTTGGTAGAGAGGGGTAAATTCATTTAACAACAAAATAACTAAACTATGTGGGAACAAAAGGTCAATGAAAAAACTTAAGTATTTCAAAACAAAAGTGTGCATAGTTTTCTGAGGGCTGCTAGGGTTAGCTAGAACTGTGTGTGCTTATAGTGGCATTTAATTTGTACATCAATTAGTTTTACCTGCAAATGTAATGCAATTAAGATTCTTGTCTCTCTTACACATTTGATAGAGCTTCTCTTACTAAGTCATTATGTTTTAGTAGTATCCAGTAGTTACAGTTGGATAAAGAATGGTTCTGGCACTTCACAGTGGCCTGTAGGTCAACAAAACATATTACAATGAGTAATATTGTCACAATTACTAGCTCAAATGAGTTAATATCAGTGACGTTTTTGCCACTTAATATAAGATAGCATGAGCAAACTACTTTTTTTTCTCAGTTAATTGATGTCAGGTAAAGATTCAAAAGGTAAGTACTGCTAGCAAAACATTAAATGACATCAGAAAGAAATATTAGGGTAGAGGAGGGCCTCCTGGGTCCTCTCTCATCTAATTGAAGGCATCAAGGTTATATAATCACATTCCTTATTATATTACCTCACTTATTATTAGCATATTTATTAGCTCCAGCAATGAGTTATTACAGAGGTTCTATTGTTGCTGTGAGTTTTGAGTCCAGGCAGGTGACACTGCTCACCTTGGCTGGTCTGTCCAGACACCTCATTCATAGAAGCAACCGAAATGGAGTGGTTTGCATCTGGTGCAAGATATAGGACTCAGCTAGCTCTTTTAGCCATGTGGGAGTGTGATTCAGTTTCTTGGCATACAGTGCCACGGAATATCTGTTTGAGAGTCTCTCTCCTGCCTCTACTGAGGATGGTCCCTGTTCAGTGCCTTAAGGCATCTCAGGTAACACTAGACATTTGTTTTCAGGCAAGCCTAAGTCCTACATTTGAGGATAGAGTGAGTTACCTGCTGCAGGAGTCTCTCTTTCCATTGTGTATGTTGTGGTGACCAGATCATGCTGAACATCCAAGCATTTTATTTTTCAAGTTGGGTGAAATGAATCCTATACAAATAAACTAAAAGATTTTGTTTACTGTCCTGGTTTAGGCTGCAGTGATCAGACACAGAGCTACTCATCAGGTATCCCCAGAAAGGCATGATTCACACACCTTATTATCTCTTTCACTTTATCCTCATTATCACCATTTTGCTTTCTCTGATCAGCCCTCTTCTCAAATAAACAACCTGTCCCTAATTACCTTCAGAGGTTTTCTACAGATTTTGTACATCTGTTACCTAGTCACCCTTGATCTTGTATGTTACCTCTGTTGCAGTCATCTGCGTGCTGTGTCCTTGCAAGATTGCAGTCTCCAAAAGATCCCAAATAATTTCCTCCAGTTACCTTCAAAATTTGGTGACTTCTCCCTTAACCATCCAGCGATGTCTGGAAATTTCTCATGTTGTCATGGTCTCAGATCCAGTAATTTTCCACACCCTGTTCAGTTAATTTAACCTCAGGATTATGCCAGTCAGGGCCTGGCCAGTGATTTAGTCATTCACTTGCAGCACTAGCAAAGATGAATTCCTGAACTTGACCCTGAAGTTGTCTGGAAAAATATTTTCTTAGCTGTGTGATGAGAGGAATATAAAATGAAGAACAAACCCATTTGTTCAGTGTTGAGTAAGGCAATACAGCATGTTGTTGACACCTATAGCCCCATGTTAAAACCATCCTAAGATAAAAGAGCTCAAAGTGAGCAAGAAGGCACTGATACTCTTAATCACAGACTGATAGCATTAAGTCCTCAGGACCTAAAAGAATGGGGGGAAAGGCTTTAATATGGTCTTGTTATTTTCTTTGGAGAAATTCCAGAATACAGTCTGTGTAAGTGCTCCTGGTTTGGATTGCTCCCAGATGTCAGATTCCAAAGGTTCAAGTTTGTCTTTCACTCCTTCGGAAGACAGTTGGGTGGCAATATCGTTAATATGCAGATGACACTTAGTGCTGTTTCTTTCTGCTCAGCCTAGCCAGGAGATATCTGTACTTTCCCGTGTCTGGCAGAGATAGGGAACTGGAGAGAAGCCAAGAAAGTGGGCTTGTTCCGGAGCTTCAAATGGCTTCACAATGACTGGCCTGGAAATGAATTTTGAGGAACTTTTATTCAGGGATTCATTTGTTCAAATGCTTCATTGCTCTCCGGGTCTTAATAGCCTCAAACTGTTCTGTGATGAGAAGAGCTGGGAATACCTTCTTCAAAAAGTGAAGGGAAACCAAATCAAGCCCCTGTGCTAGGCTAAGAGCATGATTGCATCAGCTCACCTCTGTCAGAAAAGAGGGAGCTGCGTTCCCAACCCTTCCTCCTTATTGCTCCATCTCAGCCACGTGCTGCCTTGTGCAGCCTCTGGAGCTTGTTAGATGCCACCGTGAACTAACAAAACTCACAGAAACAGCAGAAACAAACCACACAGAAATGTGGATAATTCTTTCCACCTCCCTGGGTTGCACTTTTTTGCTGGGAAAAAAGTGGGGATGGGACAGGGAAATGAAGATGAGCAAGGAAAGAGAGTGAGACCTGATAATCATGCAAGGTGGTGCGTCTGTGACCAGGCTAGCATTACAAAACTTGAGACTTGATAACCACTTGAAATTTCAGCTGCAGCCTTAATTCAGATCACTCTCTTTTAGTCACTATGGCATTCTCAGGGTAAATTACACCCGCTGCTTGTTCCCAACAATGGGAGCAATTAAAAGCACTGTTTACTATCTACAGAGCCCTAAATAGTTGAAATCTAATTACTTCCAAAAGACTTTCCTTCTTTTGTCCTGTGGTGACCCTGGCATTAAATGGAATTGCTTTGGCCGCCTTGCCTAGGAATGAACTTAGAGGAAGCTGGAAGCAAAATAATGTCTCTAGAAGGCATTTTCCTGAAGAATTCATTCCTGCCAGAGTATTTGCTAAGCCTGAACTTGCCCACATTTGGTACACGATGTAAAATAATTCTCCGTGCAAGTGTTCTCTGCTATAACAGGCCCCGGAGTCCTTGGCATTCAGCCTACTGTTGTCTATCTTTGTCCTTTAACATTGTGTGCCATTGCCTGAGCACGCGCCCTGCAGACTCCCACCCTGCCTTTGGAAACCCTCCGCTGTGCTCACATCTCCTCCAGCTGCCTCCACCAGGCAGGAAGTGGGTCTAAGCTCCCCAAGAGGGAAGCTCAGAGACATCACTTTCTCCTGCAAGTCCAGCCCCATCTTCAGGACTGGTACTCTTCCCAGGCCAGGAGTAGCCTGGAGGACATTTCCTTGGGTCAGGGAAGATCCTCAGCCACACACAGACATGAAGTCATAGTCTTTTGCCTTGGAGATATGCTTAATAAGCCATAGCCATGCACCATTATCCCAGTGGCATTTGCATATGCACTGCATTTATTTGTGGTCTGCGGTCAATGAGTTGCATGTGCAGAACCTTCGCATGTTTACCAAACTCTGCCATCATATGCATGGGTGCTATATGGCAGGGGTGCTGGTCTCCCCAGCACAGCTTTTGAAACATCTCAATGCTGAGCCTCTGCTTACACTCCTCACACGAAGAGATTACAGATGCTCTCCTCTTTCTCTTTGACCTCTCCCCACGTAGGTCTGAGCTAACATTGTCCAACACTGAGGTACCACTACATCTGTTGTGTAGAAGTCTTTGGACCTGCATGTCAGGAGTGATATAGCTATATCTGAGCCTGTCATAAGAAAGAAGAATGGAATGGGAACTTCTTAAAGTTCCTTCCAGCTTTTGATTAGTGTTTGTTGTGTTTCAGAACGTAATTTGCTTCACATTGTACTGAAAGGCTTGTAGCAAATGAGCTGCTTCTTGCTGTTGCTTTGACTTTATAACATCTGTGAACTTCAACTTCCTCCCTACTATATTTTTCCAATATGATCTCTGTAATTTATATTTGTGTAGTTGTACAAATACAGTTATATTTCCC